GCCGTGTGCCCTACAGCACACAGCAGGGTCAGAGAAGATTAGTAAATGGAGATTTTTCACAGCTGATGGCCCAGCAGAGAAGCAGAATTACCGATGGAGATATCTACAAATACTTCAAAAAAAGGACATCACTATTTCCACCTCCCCCCACTTTTTTTTTTTAAGTAAGTGCATTCCTTTGCACTGTATAAAAAAGGGAAGCCGCAGGCAAAATGAGTTACATTAGAATGTGATTAGTTTTCTAGATGTGTTAGTCACCGGTTTGTCTGCTGCTTAGTAAACACAGTTTGCAGATTGCGAGTGTAACTGTTTCTATCTCTAAAGAGAAAAATTTTGCAATTCCAAATTTTTCAAGTTTTAGCTAAGTGATGAAACTTTGTTACTCTATTTTCAGATTCTGTTCTCAGATTTATTACTACTTATGCTTTATTGTGCTTGTATGATAAAACTATATATTATTATACGTTGTTATTTATTTATGCAGGATGAGTTTGGATTATATTTCTGCAAAGTTAGTGTTAGAAGAGAGAATGAGTTTGCAGATTTTTTTCCCCCCACCATTCATCCCTGTTTCTGACTTTGTGTGGTCATTTGAGAGCAAGGAATGGCATTTTTAAAAGAGCATGTGTTATCTGAGGTTCAAAGTAGACATGACTTACTAACTTGGAAGTCAAAGGGGAAAAGAAAAACCCACTTGGTTCTTGCTTTTAAATTTTTATAGAGGCAAGCAAATACTACTGATTCAATCTGCATTTGGAGAAGATATGACCTTTAGCATGCAGAACCCACAGTGTCTGCTTTCCTTCTTTGATAAACAGCAATAGAAGTTGATTAGCAGAAAGTTGTTGACAGCTGAAAGGCATTTAGAAGCACAATAATAAAAGGTTTCAAGGTAGAGGTATGAGGAAGTTAGTAGACAGCTATATACACTGTGGGCTGGAGATGAGTGAGGTGTAACATTTCTGGTGGTGAGTATTTTGAAAGAGTCTAATTCTTACTGTGGGAGAACTTTGTATATAAAGACATGTATAATCAGGAGTAGTGAGATGATGTAAAGAAAAGGGAATTTTGGCTGAAAATCAGGAGGTCTTTCTGACTATCGTAGTAGACTGTGGAATATTTTGGTCTGTCAAGGAAACAGTGGGAACTATTGTTCGAAACTTTTAAAGCAAGGCTAAACAAATTTCTAATGAAAACACCATAACAAGTAGTCAAATATTGGCAGTGCTGATGCACATTTAAGCTTATGGATTTTTTTCCATCTGTGAACAAAGAAGTCCTACAAGAAGTTTACCAAAATTACTTGACATTTTAAAGGCCTCTATAGCTTTATTGTAAGCATGTTTTTGTAAATGTTTGTAGATTTTATTTTTTATTTGTATTTATTGTGAAATGTCAGGAGTAGTGCTTCCTAAACAATTACAGATACTTTTCTAAATGAAAGAAATGGTTGTGTTGGGAATAGCTTTTGGCCAAACATACAAAGTAAATTAGTGGTTTTTTTCCCTTATCCTCTTTTACTTTCCCAGTGTGTTTTGTAAAGGAATGGATCATGACGAACAAATTAAAGACATTTTAAAAACATTCAAAATCATTAAATTATTGAAAAACATCACTTCTAGGAGGGAAAAGCAGATCTTCTCTGGGTCTTTGAGTTTGTGCTTTGGGTTTTTTTGGGGGAGACCTGTGGAAACCTCAGCCCCAGTTTTATCACATACTGCTTTCAAAGCAGTGAACTCAACTAATCTAAATTTGCAATTAAATTAGCTTTAATACTTTAAAATTGTTGACCTGCTTAGCTGATTTTCTAGCTTTCCTCTCCAGCTTTCTTAAAGCCAGCTTAACTGGCTTTAACATACCTTTAAACAGCAGATTAGTCTATCTTGTGATTTAATTCAACTTTTGGAGCCACTCAGTGACAAAATCAAACAGGAAAAGAGAAGGCCAAAGGTGCATAAAAGGTGGCACCCTCTGTGTTACTCATGAATCAAAATTTGGGTTGAAGTTACAAGTGTCTCAGACCTCTTAGAACAGTTTTCAAGTAATTTCTGTTCACACCTTTATGAAGATAATATATCACCTGATGAATTTGGAATGCTTTTATCGATTTCAAATCGATTTGAAAACTTCAAGTAAGGTTAGGGTGGAAAAACAGCCCAGGAAGGAATTGGCATCACTCTCTGAAAACTAAAATGCTGAGTTTCAGATAGCACTATTACAGAAGAGAAAAAAGTACTGGCAGACTGGAAACTCTAAGAATGTACCAGAACGCTACAGAAGCAAACAGTCCTGCTGCCTGCAAGGTGTGCAATACTTTAACCTTCACCAGATGACAGTGAATGTGTCCCTGCTATGTTTTAAAGGGTAAATCACAAGTGTGCTGCCCACATTTTGCCACCTCAAGATGAGTTTCGGGTGTGTGCCCAGTGCAGCCAAGAGCAGGCTGCTTCTGTCAGACAGTGTGCAGTTCCGCATGCCCAGCCTGAGTCTCTGCCCCGTGAGAGCTGGACTTTGTAGATGAACAGGCTTTATCTCTGTTTTGGAAAATCCAGTCCTCAAAGTAATGCAAGGAAATATTACTCAGGCTAGTAACAGATGCTGAAACCTGGATGCAGATACTCAGTATGTGAATTCAGAAAACAAAAGAAGAAAACAAAAGGCAGGGCTTTCATTTTCTTGGACAAGGTTATCAATATTTGAGGTGATGGGCAGCAGAGAGTTTTTCCCTGAACTGGGAGTGGAGGAGGAGAAACCAGCTGATTTGAGCTATTCACATCCACCCAAAGCCTGACAAAGGACCTTGTGGTTCAAAGTTGCTTTTCATTGTACTTTGCACTGTGAGAAAATAAGGGTTTCCTTGCATTGAGGTGTCATCATTGATAGAAGATTTAAGAAATCCCAACTGTTTCCTCCAGCAAGCAAGAGCAGTAGGGTTGGATTAAGATTCATCTGTGTGTTTCTAAAAATTTGCAACTCAACCTGTCTGCCTGGAAGAGACAACGCATAGCACTGTATGTGTATGTTTTTAATATAGAATCATAGAATATGAGGGTTCTTCATTAATTTAGGAGTCTCTTATGGAAAGCGCTGCAGCTAGTACCTGACACAGCGTTGCCCTGCCCATGGGCCTGCCAAAAAAGGGGAGCGGGAGGTCTTGGCTGCCTAGTGTCATAATTCTCGCTTGAATTGCAACCAGACCAAAACATGGGCCTTGAGGGAGCTCCATTGCCTTTCCCTGTGCTAATACAGCTTAGGGCTGCATCTGTGAACTTGGGGCCTGTGACCAGCAACCAGGAGAACAGGCTGGACTTCAGGATATCCTGATGGAAATCAGTGCTTCCTGAAGGGCCTGAGATGGGAAGGTGCTGCCATGTCTGATGAGAAAGGTGAAAAAGTCCCTCTGAGGACTAGTGAGTGATGACCCAGTCAGTGGATACCTCTGTGGATTTTATTATAAGATTCAGCTGTCATACCAGTTTGGAGTGTTTGGGTTGCTGGAGCTGATATTACACATTCCATTTTCATGATTTTATAAAACAATAGTATAACAACAGATCATCTTCCACTCACATAAGCCTAAAGGT